ACTGATTAGAAATTATTGGTGGAAAACAAAAAGGCAGCTTTGCCTTCCTATTGTAGGGCATGATCCTACAGTATCTGAAAATTTAAGGAGAAAGATTATGGGTATTTTTCTACTGTATTATTTTTTACACTACAGCGAAGATTGGTACAGAGATCACTTGTTATTATACATACAGCTCTTAGAGCCTCCTCCTTTACATTTAGTGCGTCCAATTTTTTTCCTGCTGTTGAACAACCAGTTCCTAAAGAAGAAAAAAATGCAAAATTCGGATAAAAATTACTACTTGATGAGATTACTTTTTTGTTCTGCAACTTAGTATTACAAAATGCTGTAAAACATCTCATTGTTGCTCTTAAAAATTTAAAAGACAAGACTGTGTCCAGCTTCTCCAAGTAACTCAGATATAATATCTACTTTTCAGCATCCAACTTTTCCAATAAACTCTTACCATTGTTTTTTGCAGTTGGGCTATAACCAAAAAATTGTTTGCTCTTTTTCCACTATTTTTCTTAAAATCAGTACTGAGTGTGGAAATCATCATTTCTACTTCAGAAGTTTAAAGTCAGATTTTAAAATCTGAACTAGCCACCACAGTTTCTTCATAGTCCAGAAAGAGACAGGTAGGCCCTGACTGGTGATTCAGCTCATCCTAAGATAGCTGGGAAGCACTGGCCTCAAAAGATGCCTATCTCTCTGTACAGTCTATACAGAGAAACTTTCTAAGGCTGTATGCCTGAAGCTAGATGATCCCAGAGAACCTAGAAATCTTACTGCTTTTGTTAACATTAGGATTAGTGAAGTCACTAATTTTTTACAAAGCCCAGTTCATTTTTCTGATACATTCAGACATACAACAAGAACAACAAAAAACCCCAGTCAGATTCAGCTTTGTACACAGGAAGAAAACTTTCTACTCAAGTGAACTAAAAAAATTCTTGGGGTTGTTTTTCCCTTTTGCTTGCTTTTTACACATGACGAAACATCTAAGCACTACAGTGGCTTTTAAAATCTGCATGTCAGTCCCCAAATTTAAAAAGAAAATTATGAACATTATTTCTTCTTAAATAAGAAATACAAGAAGACAAAGTATTTGGTTTTAGTCAATTGCTCTATTTATTTTTCAGGCACTTCTATAATTGATCAAGGTACCAGCAAGCTTTTTTATTGTATTACTCCATTCTCAAGCTCTTTAATAGTGAAATTGTATGTGGAACCAATAGAACCAGATTGAGAAACATTTTAGGTAAGTACAATGAAACAAACCAACCTGGGAGAGTTTTTCATTTGCAGCCTTCATCTCCATATATTTAGCTTGATTTTCCTGTGACATGTCTTTTATTATGTCATCTGCTACAACCTTTTCATGTTCAATATCTTCTTCTACACCTTGAATTAACTTTTCTGTGCTGTAAAAATAGAATGTTTTTGTAATTTTTACTAGTTGATGTTTATTTTAAGAACCCATTTCAAACTCTGGTGTTCCTTCAGCCTTTAACACAAAAACTCCACAGATTCTAAAAAAAGGAGTTACCTACTTGTATCTAATCTTCTTGGAGTTGGATTAGCTACATAAACAGTCACACACGGAATGCAGAAGATGCAGAATTCTTTGCCCTTACAGGACCCACATAGTACTTTCCAACACTCCAACCCTGACTACCTGCATAGTCCCCAACACTGGCAAAAGTATACTACTTCCTCTCAGTTGCTCTCAATCAGTGAAGTCCTGAAATAAGAACAGGCAGTTTGAAATAAAGAAGCTGGTATGTGATATGTGAATGCACATAAAGAAAACATATTACATAGATACCAGGGCTTGACAGTACTGGGTAACGATGATAAGACGACTTTCTTTTAGCAATGAATTGTTGGATTCCTTAAGAATGGAGAGTGGCTTCAGTGTCTTAGGCAGTGTGAAGCTTCTTAACCACGCAAGAATTAAGAAATTAGCCATTCCTGACATTCTTGATTCATGACTTTAATCTCATTAGGAAATCAATGGGCTGCAACCATAAAAACTTCTCTACCACTGCAGTTATATTGAGCTACAAGCAAATGTATTAGCAGGTTCAAGGAAGGCATAAAGAGTTGTTCTCACACTGTCTCACATAACGTCTAGTAATTTCTGTGGAACTCCTGAATGTTGAAGAGTCTATTTGAGAACATAGCTAAAGATAAAGGAAATTAACAAAAACTCCTGAGACCCTGAAGAGTATACCCTCCTTCCCTTCACAGTTCATGAAAGATTGTTTAAAGTGTTTGTTTGTTTCCAGAATGACTTCTGCTATTAAGAATGACAAAATCAGCTGGATACTTCCTTCAGGATTTATTTTAATTCTATTTTTCGTTAATTCTTCCTGAGTTGCAAGATGCCAGAAATTTTAAATTACGTAACTGACACTATCAGTTCAATGATTGCAGCCATTAATGCCCTAAGACTTAAAAGATGATGCAAAATAGTCGAACTGCATGAGGATAAAATCAGGGTAAGGGAACAATGAAAATTTCATAGAAGCAGAGTAGAGCTGATGTTGGAATGGACTTCTGAAGGTCATCTAGCCCAACCCCACTACTCAAAGCACGGTCACCTAGAGCAGGTTGTCAGCGTCTTGTTCAGGCAGGTTTTGAGTATCTTGAAGGATGGAGACCCCACAACCTGTCTGGGCAATGTTTCGATGTTTGGCCACTCTTAGAGTAAAAAGTTTTTTCTTACATTTAAATGGATTTTCCTGTTCTCCAATTTGTGGCCATTGTCTCTTGTCCTGCCCTTGGGAATCACTGAGAAGAGACCAGCTCCATTTTCATTACTCCTACCCATCAGGGATTTACTTTGATAAGATACCCACTAAGCCTTTTCTTCTAGTGATAAAACAATTCCAGCTCCCTCAGCCTGTCCTCATAGTTTTCACCACTTCCAAGGAATTCTCAAAAGAGATTCAAAAGTGTAACCAGTCTTCCAGCTGGCTTCAAGAAAGATCTATAGTTTCTAGGAAACTGAGGATGCTAAGTAGAAATTCTGTCAGGTTAGCAACCCATGCTGCAAAGATGCTTTGGAACCTGACTATGAAGAAACAAATCAAAGTGATGATCTCCCACTTTCTGTGGCAAATTTGGAGTGCACTCAGACTGCCCAAGAAATACTGGATGGTTGTAACATGACATTAAATGGAACACCCTCTTGAGAGTAAAAATGGTTTGTTCAGACCCAGTCCAAAGAATGAAGCCCTCACTGTAAGTACACCAGTTTATGCATGGATAATTATGTTACACTTGGTAGTGGAAAGGAGTAATTTTTAAAGTGAAGCGTGTTCTTAAGCTATGAGAGTAGTTTGATTCAAGACCCTCTGGAAGACACGGAGCTGGGAACTGGCAGGGTGCTTTCATGTTACTTCTTTATTGGAAGCTCCCCATCCCTCCATCTGGGCCTATGAAAGCTGTTGCAAAGTCTCAGCAGTGACAGTTTCTCTGAAATCAAGCCCAACTGAAGACATGACAGAATGAAAACAGAGAAATTGCAATGAAGAATTCAAGAAAATGTTAAGGTTGCTAATTTCGAGAATAAAGCTCCACACTAGATGTAATTCACCTGGAGACACTGTCAGTACTGATCATAGGAGCTTGTCTTAAGTACAAACAGGGTGCCTTTTCCTGGAGATCACTGGGGCATTTGGGGAGGGAGAGAAGAATACTGCTTGCTGCATTTCTCCCGTGTTCCAAAACACCATGTGTAAGCAGCCGCCACTGTTGAGGGCAGTTGTGTCTCCAAGCTCTACTGGATTTTTCTCATCTATGCCTGAGACTGCAAGTATGCATGACAGAGTAAGGAAAGCAAGCCTTCTTTTCCAGCCCCACCGATGTAAAGTGTGTGTGGACACATTCCAGAACAGCCTCTTTACCTGAAGCAAGTCTCTTTTTGTGATATGGACTCCTGGCTAAATACTTCAAGATGATCCAGTATGTCCTTGAGACTATAAATGTCTGACTTAGCTGTGACACATCTTCTGTGGTAGAAACCTTTTCACGGAAGGTTAAAACTCAGTGATTTTCTGAGAGGCAATAAAAATATCAGCAATGGCTATCACAGGAAGACAATTCACTACCACAAGTAATTTGAAGACTACTGATGAAGCTGAATCAGGGATGAGGCTTGGAAAAGCTGCAGAATGTTCTGAGACACTAAGCAAAAAATTAAAGTGGTAATAACATCAAAGAGGGATAGTGAAGTAAAATGGTTTCTACTGCCACATATTTGAGAGGAATGGAGAAGGAGAGGAGACTGAACTGTTTTGTAGTTTGATGCTGTGCATTGGACAGAATGAGGCTTAGAGAATGAGCACCAATGCAAGAAAAAATTTATTGCACATAGTGTTTGTGTATCAATATAATCCCTTTTTCAACATACAGACATGCATGCATATAGACATGCTCTCAAATCAGAGCAAGTATCATTTGTTTTTAGAATTTCTTCCTAGCCCACGTAACAGATGTCCTTAAGTGCTTGTAATTCTAATGAGTTTTACATATCACACCCTGCAGCTCCTCTGATGCCGATGTTTCCAAAACACAAGAATTTAACACAGATTTAACTAACTGCTAGAGATCTTTAGTATGCAAATATCTTGAAATTTTCTTCATTTGATGACTGATCACATTAAAAATGCAAGTCTTTTTCTGTCTCCAACATTTCTTTAATTGATTATAACCCAGCTTACTTGTAAATTCCTGATGGCATTTTAACTCAGTGCTTCCTATGTGATCTGGAACTTGACATTTGAGCATACTACTATGAGACTTCTCTATTGGCTGCAGATCCAATTAAACCCAAGATGATTATAAGAAGTTGCTCAACCTAGTCAATCTTTTGCTAAGGATTTTCTAGGTTTATTATTTTTTTTACACTGCCTGCTTATTCATCAGGTACAAAGGTTGAACAAAAACAAAGTGCTGTTGCATCATATTATTTCTTGTCAGTGCACTGAAAAACCTACACATGTGTACATATGCTGCCTCTAAGAAGCAATAGAAAGGTAAGACACTTGGCACATCTTTTTCAAAACGTAGGCAAAGATTTATTAGTGTAACTTTGTTGCCAGACTGGAAACAAATATATCTTGAGATACATTAAAAGTTCAGGAATTACTACGAACCTTGGACATGCTAAGTTGTTAAGTAAATTGTACTTCAGTAAAAAGCCAGGGAATAGTCTGTTTCTTCTCTGAAAACAGACTACCTGATTATATAAACCCCACTACCTCCCCAAATCTGCCTTTTTCTTTACAAATGCAAGAAAAACAATAGGAATTACATTACTATTAAACAATAAAATCTTTAGAAGTTCACCAAGGAAAACTTTAAGAAAACGCTTCAACTTAAAAGGAAATGTCAAGGTATTACCAATATATTGCCAGGCTCTGTTTCTTTCCAAAGCAATTACTTTAAACAGCAATTCTTAAAGTCTGGTTCTAGTAAAAAGCTAAACTGCAATTAAAATTACAGATGCTTTCCTGTTCTTCTACTGATTATACAGGGTCCCACACACACAATGCAGGAAATCAAATCTGTAAGAAAACCCCTAGCTTTTCAGTAGAAACTGAAGTAAAAAATAGGAACTATGTTTTTGACTTAGACACATGTAGAGTGAATTTTTAGACAGGAAAAGGATTTTTCCAGTTAATGGCATGGCCTTCATTCAGACGTGTTAAATTTTTTCTTGAAGTTTTGAAAAACTTTAAAATTAACTTTCATTTTCAACTTAATTGTTATTGATTAACTTACAGACTGACTTTTAAAATAGTATTTTAATATATTTTCCCCACTCTATTATAGATAGTATTTTTCCTGAAATCTGCAAACTGCAATAATATATTAATCCTTGTTTCTAGATTGCCTGGTTAAGGCATCTGTTTCTGAACATCTTGGAAGTGGTATCTTTAAGGTCCAAGCATGCCACTAGATCCAACTGTTAACATAGTCTATATCGGGAGTTCTCAAACTGCATCATGTTTTCCATGCAATATAAAACTGGCTCCATCACTGACAAGAACAATACCTAATACAGAACATAATACTACAGTGGCTGCTGCTGCTAATATCCCTTGACCCTGCCACTGATAATGTCTAAAAAAAAGGTTTATTAACTCTTTTTGTATTTAATGTAAATTTCCAACATCAGTAGAAATGCATGATGGATCAGAGCAGTGTAAGTTGCATTTATCTTCTTCTTCTTCGCAGGGAGTTAGTAAGTTTCCAGGTTGACTCAGTTAGGTGAATGAGGTCAGTCTTCAGACACACAGATGTATAGAAGCAATCAATTAGACTTGACCAATTTGGTCTGTGACCTCATCTACTCCATACTGATCAGCAAAGGCCTCCTGGCACTCTTTTTAAGTATTGGTGGAGTTTTTTCAAATCTGACTGCCTGCCTATACGTAGCATTGTTTGTGCAATTGAGCTTCCTTATGTAATTTCCCCCACTCTTCTCTGCTAAATTCAGTGAATACTCTCTACAGCTCAAGATACAATAGGCACTTTAAACAAGTATCTTACACCTTATCTTTTGGGCCTTTTTTAATCTGGAAGATAGAAATCGGGGAAGGAGATACTGAGGTTCACTTAGCCCACAATCTTTTCTCTTCAGATGCTTAAGAAAAAGTGTAAAGATGAAGGGGTAATCTACCTTTTACGTAACATTTTAATTCAAGTCTGGCATAAACAGGGACTGATTTAACATCTGACAGAGATGGTTTAACATTCCTGTTCAAAATGAGTAGATCTTGCAAATAACACCTGATTCAAAGGGGATGGATAAGTGACGCTTTCTCTGAGAGAAGTTAATGTCAGTTAATGCCAGTAAGTGAATACCATTTGTCAGAAAAGCTTTCCTGACTCTCAAAAAATAAGGTTCAAATCTGTACAAAAACTCCAGCACAAGAGATTGAACCATATTTACTTCGTTCCAAAGATCAGAACAACAACTACACCTTCATAATACAGAGGTCCAAGTTTATGTCGTATGATATATGTTATATTATGGATAATAAAAAGATTAGAAGATCAATCTACTAACTAAAAATTCACAAGAATTGCTTGACAACTTACATAAGAACATACAAAAAATCTGACTAGATAAACCAACAATCCATCTAGCACTGTATTCTGCCTCTGCAGTGGCAACAAGAGAAATTTTTTAGGGAGAGCATACAAGCCTGAATACTTTCTACAGCTTACTCCTATCATAGTCTTTCAGTACCCACAATCGCTTTAACAGGGATATTAATGAGTACATCCCTGCCTATTTGTTTTATCCATTTATGAAACTGTTGCCTATTAACTTGTCTGATCAATCCCTTTTCTATTTGCTGATACAGCCTGCTCACTGGATTTTAGGTTTGGGTCAATTAAGTGAAAGCTGAATGCATTAATTCTGACAACCTATGTTTTTCCTCTTAATTTTACATTTTGTAGTATCTATGTAGAAGAAAATTTATTAAATTATCATTGAACTAACTATATCTATTAATTTGTTAAACCACCTCTACAGAAGACACTGGTATTCTGGTCTTGGTGTACAAAAGTATTGTTTTTTGCTAGGCTCTAAACATGAAACTCTCTTGGCTTGTGATCTGGGCTGGCACACTGTTTTTGAATCCAGTCACTGCTGACTGCAACATTACTTCTCAAACTGTAAGTTTTATATGTATGTGAATTACCCTTATTTTTGAAAGATATACACTAGAAGCTAAAAGCATTTTAAAAACTACCTTGTAAACATAAAATTCCTGAAGAAAGAAGCACATAGAGACAAATAAGAAAATGTGGTTTTCTGCACAATGGACAACTAGCTGCTGGCAGTCATTGTAAATGGGTGAATAACACTGAAACATATTTGAGATAGTTTTGTATCTCAGTCAAATCTCTTGCAGATAGAGTGCCTCCTTCATCTTTTTGGAATAGACCTAAAAAACAACAGTTATTTGAATAAGGCCAACTACTGCTCGAGAGATTTACTGAGTTAGCACTTGCCCAAGTCAGGTCCAAATGTATGTAAGAAATTTTAAAGGTTTTTTTTTCAGAGGTTAATTTAATGGATTTTGTATTTATTGGGGTATGAGGGGAAGGAAGAAGTCTTGTTTAACAGTCAAGTGATAAAACTGGTATTGTACTATTTGCTCTAAGTCACTGCCTACAGGTCCAGTGCTGTATCTACCGCTTGTTCACCTTTGGGACAAACACGAAGAACAAAAAAACCACACAATGGATATATACAGTGTAGAAAAGGCACTCCATCTACATTTGTTTTTAAATAAGCTATCTAGACTCAATCCAGTCACAGCAGTAACAAGCTGACCATAGGCTACTTATTTAGGAAGAGGGATAACACAGCCAATCTGTTTCCAGTACTTAAAATCTCCTTTAAAGCCAGTTCAAATATCTTGACACTAAACATCAGCTGCAGTGATGCATACATAGACATATAAAGAAATCTACTCTTTTCGGAAAACAAAAATGTTTCAACGTATTGAGAGTAAACACTCTCAAACCTGAAAAGACTGCAGCTATGCTAAACTTCAACCCAGAAGACCAAAATGAATTTAAGTGCTATATTTATAATAAAAATATACACTAAATGTTTTGTTGAAGGTCTGCTCCGAAGATGTTTTAAAGAGTAAACATAGCTGTTTTTAAAACAAAAAAATACATTTGAAAAAGCATATTTGAATTAATTTTCAGTCTTGAATCCACTTCCTCTATGACACCTTCTTTCCAGATTATGTGGGAAAGGAATCCTTTTTCTATCCAGCCAGCCTTCACATAGAATTTTAAAACAGACAGCTCTACTAATTCCAAAATAGCATGCCAAACTGGTTACATTTTGGATAATCATCACATAAAGAGCCTTGCATCTCAAACAGCATTTAAGCACTAAGTTGATTTGGAACTTCAGGTCTCTATACACTAGGAGGATTCATTCCCCTGTATCACCAGACCACAAGTATATCAAGAAAAACATAAATAAAATTGCATGAAGAGCAGTAGAACTTTTCCTTTAACGTGCTGTCATTAAAAATTACAGAAGATTTTTCACTCCCTTAATAGTCATCACTGAGACACCTTCCTCACCGGACTTCCCCACAGTATTTAATTGTCATTCTCTTTTTTTCAACAGGTCACATGTGAGGAGTCTGGAAAGAACCTCTCTAATATCCCCACTAATCTTTTCCAAAATGTTACTAAATTAAGCCTCAAAAATAATAAAATCACTTTAAAAAGTGACAAAGACATTCTTCGAAGTTTTATTAACCTCACTGAACTTTATCTGAATGAAAACATGATTACTGTACTGTATAATAACAGCTTCTGCAATCTGACAAAACTCGTAATTCTGGATATCAGCAACAATCATATTAGCACAGTTCATAAAGCAGCATTTGCAGGATTAAATCAACTGTCAGTGTTGAATCTGTCCTATAACGCGATTACTCAACTAGATTCAGATGTATTTACTTCTCTAAAAAGTCTGACAGTTTTAAATCTACAGTATAACTTTCTGAAATCTTTTCATATCAAATCATCTTTTAAGTTGATTAAAACCGTTTTAGCTGGAAACCCATGGACCTGCTCCTGTGACCTCCTTGATTTACAGAAATGGCTAACTGCCTCCAATGTGACAATTGGTAAGTTTCGGTAAGAGCAGCATTTCATTCTTGTTTATATCAAACAGCCTTATCTTGTTTTTTCCTGAGCTGGATAATATCCACCATCAACTTATCTGTATTTTGTAGTAATACATTAGTTATGCACGAAAATTTTTAGTGCCAATTAATTAGCAATATCTCATAGCTTTTCCACTGCTCACATTCACAGAAAATGAAAACAGCACTACATGTACATTCCCAAACAGCACAGAAAAATTGTCCATCAGGATGGTGGCTATCCAACAAGCCGACTGCAAAATTGAAAAAGCTTCTTTAGAAAACACTGTAACTTTCACTGCTGCCATTAAGCTTAAAAGAAGTGCCTCACCAACAGCTCTGACTCCAAACAACATCACTGGAAGCAATGGAACACATGCAGGTAATATACTGATGTTTTGCTTTACTGCTTATAAGCTGTTTGATTTGCTGTTCCATGATTTCAACTGTTTTGTATTCCTAGCACACTGTAATTCTTCCATAAAAGCCAGGGCTATGGAAAAAGTGTATTTCCAGGTTTTGGTAGACTGTATACACATTACGGTGAATGTTAAGATCTACTGAGTAAGTGTTCAAAACGGATAAACCACACCTGAATTCTCAAATGATACTACAAGCTCATGATGAAATTTCAAAGGCTTGAAATTCAAATAATTGCCGAGATCTCTGCCTAACAGAACTAGGGAAGCATCTTTAAAAAATGCAATTACTTCTTCCAAATTAACTGCTTTGTAGATGTAGCTGTCTTCTTAAAACGTGAAAGAGTAAGCCTATTAATTTTACTCCTGCCCTTGACTGTGTTCAGGGTAAAGGACATGGATGTGCCCATCCCATATTCTTTGAAAATTTCAGTGATAGTCTCTCCTTACTTTTCTTCACCTTTTGATATTAATTCCACCATCACTCTGTAATACTCCAGCTTTTCTTTTGGTAAAGTCATGGTTTTTTTTTTCTTATATGCAAATTAATGTTCTTCTCCACTCTTCCATACTGAAATGCTTTACTTCTTGCTTCTGGCTAAAGCAGAAGAAATATCAATCTCCAGATACATACACAAATTGTATGCCACTACTGCCACAGACTTCTTTTGCTGTAGCAGCTATAATCTATTTTAGGACAGTGGCCAGCACACAAAACCAGCTTCTAAGTAAAGACTACTGGCACCTACAGTCTACTGAAATTTTTATTATAAAAGAAATACAATTGAAAGGATATGCCAAACTAAAGATGTAATATTTTAGGGTGAAGACATCATCACCACACAGAAATTTAAGCCTGGGAAACAGAATTTGAAGTCAATTACTGATTTTTTTTTTCCAAAGCCCAGTCTTGGAATTTATTCTATCTTTTATATGTCGCCAGAACTTTATCTGACTTTGAAACTATTATTTAATTTTGATAAATATGCATGGTGGATTTATATTGAGATGTACATGCATTTTTGGTCTGAGTGATGTTTCTGACTAATAACATAGCAGTAACATTCTATTAAAGCTTTGGAGATACTCAGTAATTCCCCTACCATTGTTTATTTTGTGTGTTCTCAATCCCGCTATGAAAAAATTCATACTAGAGTTCTTGCTGTATCCTCATGAAGATGACTATTCTTTTTTTCCTGTCTGTTTTAAAGAGTTACCACTTCTTGGCAAAAGTTGGACCTTCCTAGCAGGTGTCCTAGGGTTTGTCCTAAGCACTACGCTCCTGATTTTTACTGCTATAAAATGCCCGACATGGTATCACTATTTGATCAGCTACAGTCACCGTCGTCTGGAAGAAAATGACTCAGAGATGTTTGAATGGGAGCTCTCAGCTGACATGAGTTCTTCTCCTACAGTATCGGGTAGAAATGACGAAAATTCCATAGTAACATTTGAGAAAATTCATGCATTTGTGCCTGGGGAAGATGGATTTATTGAGGATAAACACATAAATTCTCATGTAACTGAGGAGAGTTAATGTCTTAAACAATGGATGATGAACTGACTTTTCAAAACTGTAGTATACTTATACTTCCATATTATGCTACTTAAGTACAATACAAATGAAGCTAAGCAATCCATCTCCCTTCATCTCGTCAAATCCATAACAAGGTATTGCTGCATGGATCATGAAGCTAAAAAATGTGGTGATGTGCATGCATTAGTGTCACAAAAAATATTGCACAACATGCAAAAAATACTCATAATCCACCTTTTATAAAAACCTATTTTGTTATTTATGGCAGGGGCAGAGAACTTACTGTATATTGCTTAACATGAACAATCTTCACAAAGTAGCTTGTGAAGCTGGTATAATCACTAATGCTTTATATGTGAAGAAGTCCAGAAAGGAAAAATAAATTCGCTAAAATGTTGAAGCAGATCACAGCCAGACTGGGGACCGAATCCAAACCAAGGGTGTCACAGCTCAGTAGTCTATTAAGCAAAACTAACACAATCAGAGAACAGAGCATTTGTTTTGTGGTTTTTTTTTTACCTGAATTAGCAGAGCAAGAAACACCAACTGCTCCATTCCCTTAAATGTGTCTACACAAAGTACAACGATAAATTATCATTACTGCATATCTAATGCCTTTATGCCTTAGTTTGCTACTGAACCAAGTTCTTCCTCTTCATATTTTCTTAACACATAAAAATGCATTTAGGGGTAGAATAGACACATTTGCAAGCTGTTGAAAACTGCAGTGTTATTGGAAAGTGACTTATTATTAAATGGTGAATTGTTTTTTAAAAGTGCTTATTTATACATAAAATCTCACTGTTGAGATTGTTCTTACTGGCAACACGCAGGATCATATCTTTCTCCTGCACATCCTAAATTAAACATGTCAGAAACTCACCCTCTCAGCCTATCACTACACAAGCTATTCTCATGGCTTACAGATTCTTACTACAAGCATCTCACTGTCCTCATCTTCCCCTCCACACACCCTTACCTTACCAGATAGGAATTGCAGTTCTATTCCCACTTCTGCTTGCTTTCCCCACTCTGCTACTCCACAACACAACCGCCAAAACTCAGGAACTTGACAGAAGGTTGCCAAAAGACAGGAGTCTCCACTGCCACCTAACTCCTCCTGGATAACATGGTAAGTATCTCCACAGCAGTTACTCAGAAGAGTTTAATGCTGGGAACTCCAGCTGCAGCCTGGCACTAATGTATCACCTTGGAATTGCTCAGGTGTCACTTGTGGCATGCATCACCCTGTTAAGGAACTTCTGAATTAGATGGCACCTCAATTTTGCCAAGTTCAGTTATGATTTTAACAGCTTTGGAGAAGCATACACTTCATGTACTTACGCTTGTCTTTCTGTGAAAATTTTATCCACACTCTGAGCGTCTCGGTCATTCTGAACCTTTAACTTAAAAAAGAAAAATGTATTTTGATATAATATATAATAACAAAGATACAGATTTTATACACAAATTCAAAGTTTTCTTTCAATGAGCAAAAAGTTGCTTAGAATGCAGTAGAAGAAGAAGCAGCACAGGCCGCCTGCTCCAGAAGTTTTTCGCAGTTGATACTGAAGAAAGACCTTCTGAAGTTGCGGTCTTCCACTGGAAACCAAAGGAAGTAAGAAGCCATCTCTATGTTTGAAAAAGAAATACAATCAAGTTTGTAACAAATCAATTCACTTACTATTACTGTGGGAGTAAAATACTGTTTAGGCCTACAAACAAAATGAAAATGTAACTTGCAAAGCATTCTTCTTTTTATGACACAGACAGTGTGACTTTATTTTTCAATCAAATGCAGGGGAAAAAAAAATATTTTGACCAAGAAATGCCCAGGTGGTTTTTCAAGCTACCAAAATAACGTTTTCTAAAACTAGTTTCTTTTGCTTATGGACAAAGTGATCATAAGAAATGGAACATGCTTAATGCCACTCATGCCTTATTGCTTAGAGGAACACTAACTGTGTTAGAAAATAAAGAAAGAAAATAAAGGAAGAACAAAGCTCATTGATTTTGTGGTTGGCCATGTCAGAGACCTATTTAATATATATTACACTGGAGTCATTTAAAGGCAGAACACAAAACAGAACTAAATTTTCAGAAGACCAGGCAGCTTTACAAAGCAGTGCAGCCTAGTGAATTTGCCCGTCATACGACTAGTGTTCTGTGCTTCCAAGTCAAATAAAGAATATATTTTAACACTTATAATTTGGGTTTGAATGACAGCCTTCTCAAATCTAAAACACAGAAAACTATTGTGGGGCTGTCAATGCAACTCTTCAGACAATTCTTCCACTACAAACACGTTGCCAGTATTATGGTTAATTTAACTGGAAAAAATGGGTAAGTTTTAAAATTAGTGTTATGGTTTTTTATATATGTCATACGTTCAAAGCACCAAGAATGTAACACACCATTTCTCTGTTCAAACATAGCAAATATCCTAATTCTTACCATATTGTAATCTCGAATCACTTCCGCCATATCCATATTGGTGTTAAGTATATCCACAACCTGAAATGAGACAGAATTCCAACCTGTTATTGCTCTCCTTTTTTTTTAATTACACACAAAAAAATCAGACAAATAGGTAGCAACTCACAAAACGCTCACGAAAACGCAGCAATGTTCTGTTATTGCAAATGGAAAAAACATGATTTGGGAATCTTAATAGATTACATGCAGTTTTTAGAAGTAATCATCATTATATGTAGATGTACAAAACCCACAAATATTATGCAGCAGTGATTTCTTAAATCCATATGCAACTGCTTCTACTAATGTATAGTACACTTTCTTTTTTTTTTCTTTTATGTTTTCCTTAGTTTCCATCTTTTTCCTTTCCAATAACTGAATAAAAGGCAGTACTAATCAGTATATTTTTACAGAGAAATGTCAAAAAAAAAGATTCTGAAGTAAAGCAAAAGCAGTACAAAGTAAATGAGAGAAGGGAGAGCAGTCAGTATCAAAAGCTGATGGCAGCATACCATGTTGTAGTCTGCTAGCTGACCTTGAAATTCTTTGATTTCACCAGCTAAAGCCTCTGCCCTAAATACAAAACAAAAAGCCAAACTTAATATGGGAAGATGTGCGTATGTAAAAATAAAATAATGAAAAAAAGAATTATTTAATGGTTCCTTGAAGCCTGCACAATACCCGAGAATAGTCTTGTGACTGAGAAAGTTAGCACTGCATTAGCTGCAATACATCTCACCTTTTTTCATATGACAAATAGACAGATTTCTCTTGCTTGTACATTTCTACTTCTTCCTGCAGCTTGTTAATTTCTGTTGTGAGTTCATTTGTTTTGCTTCTGTAAAAAATAAACAAAAAAGAATCATTAACATTTGAATGTACAACTAAAACACAGAACAGAAACTATATTTTACTACAAGAGATGGGCAATCAGTATCTTTCTCACACTGCACCATGTTTCAAATCAGTATTTCAAAGAAGAGCTGGATAAGTGAGGAAAAAAGCAAAGTGGTTCTATCAGATAAAATCATAAGTAGTCGTTAGAAAACCTGGATATGAAATAAAATGTTTTAATTAGCTTTTTGTCCCTGCTGGTGAAACAGATGTGAATTATTCTCAAACGGACAGGAAAAGAAATCATAGTATCATTTCACAGAATGTGGGTATCATCCATATTTAAAATTACAACTTTTAGGACTGATTATTCAATACTGCAATATGATCAACGGACAAAGTAGTGTATGCAATACAGTTTCCGCAAGGCGTTGCCTTTGTCAGTGTTAGCGCAATGTATAATCCAAGTAAACCACCTGAAATGTAAAAAGTGCTTAGTTTGTGATGCTACTTCTTACAAATGGAGCTATCAGACCTATCAGGCACTACAGGTGGAAGCTCAAAATCACTGACCCTCCATTTACTAATGCTGTGGGAGTGCATTTAACATAGCAAGCCTAATAACAAAATGTCAAAGGAATCTACTTGTATTTGGACATAAGCATAAACTTCCTTTCCTCCTACAAACTATATGCAAAACCTTAACTCTTATAACAGGACAGATTTCATTGTAAGTGAACACCACTTATCCCACGCTATTGTTAAGCACAACAAACTTCATGTCAGAAAGGGAACAGAGCATTAAACCTTCTGCAGCTTGAATGTGTTATTAAGACATACCTCAACAGTCCAAGGTAATATGTTTTATCCATTATCTGTCTCTGAGGACCTGACAAAGCAGAATTAGAAGACACTTTGTTAGAAAACAAATTTTGTAGGAAACTAATTTTGATGAACTGTAAATTATGAAAACAATCTGTAGAATTTGCAGGCAGAGAACTGCCATCTTCTCAGTGTTCTTAAATAGATTTTACCTCATTAAAACAAATGAAGGCAGAAATGCATTTTAGACTGTTTAGACTTTTTCAGGTATATGAATAGTTACTATAAAACAAAGTATTTTAATAATTCTGCCATGACGGAAGAAGACAGTTTATCCTATTCTATACTTTTGAATGATTTTTAAATACAGCTTAGGCACAGAAAAGCCTTTATCTTCTCTGATTGACAAGAGCAAAGAAAATAAGAGAACGATGCTTTAATCTTCGTTTCCTTTCTCCTACTCCTATTAATCATAGCTATTCACTCTGCAATTTATACAGCAATGAAAAGTTTTCCTTTAAAAACCTAAATATTTCTTTAAAATGTTTGCAGACACTTTGATAGCTATTTTCAGTAAAAAATACCTTTCATTGCAGTTTTCATTCCACTTAATCCCTGTTGAGTCACTGGACGGTCTGCAACTTTAATCTGAGATGACAAGACTCCTCCAGTAGTCGAAGAACCACTACGAGAAGCGGGTCTTGATGTACTAGGAGGCATCTATAAAAAAACCCAAAACACAAAGCTCCCAACTCTGAATTACGAATTTATTATCCCTATGCAATTTCTAAAGCAATTAAACACTTAAGTTAGTCTCTATACTGTTTGTATAAGAACCTTTTAGTATTTACACCTCTTCACGTAAACAA